TACTAAAACTACAAAATTAACCAGGTGTGATGGCATGCCTGTAATCCCAGCTACTTGGGAGGCTGAAGCATGAGAATCGCTTGAACCCGGGAGGCAGAGATCGCGCCACTGCACTCCAGCCAGCCTGGGTGACAGAGTGAGACCCTGTCTCAAAAAAAAAAAAAAAAAAGAAAAGAGAAAGAAAAAAAAAGAATGTCAGGTCACAGAGGCCAGAGTATGCAGGACCACCCTAGGGGAGCAGGGGGGCTGCATGTGCCTCTCCCCAGAGTTTACTGAAAGGAAACCGGTGTGTGTGTTGGGGGGGTGGGCAGGGGGCTTGGGGTCAAGGAGAGGGGGCGGGCTGTCTGCCTGCTGAGCCAGGAGGTGGGATATTGGCACCATCAGGCCTGAAGACCGCTCCTCCAGGCATCTCTGGGCTGCTGAGGGATCCCTGAGTAGATGGTGTGATCTAAATATTTAGGCCCCCTCGCTCTTCTCTTTCTACTCTGGGAGGACCCAAGCCTCCACAGATGCAGGGCTATGATGGGTACCATGTGCTTGATAGCGCTAGAGAAGAGGCCTGGACCTGGCCAAGCAGGGGACCTTGGAGCAGAGGGGAAGGGGCAGGGAGACAGGGAGGAGGGGAGAGGGTGCTCTTCCTCCACACACACCCTTATTTATACTGTTCTTCCTGCAGGCAGCCCCGCATGGGGGCAAGGGGTGACACACAGAGAGAGAAGGGTCCACGGATTCCCAAGGTGCCCTGGATCCAGGGTGCTGAGATGCAAAGAGGAGAGGGTGAGTGGGGTGGAATGGAAGGAGGGAAAGAGCTGGGAGCTAAGGTGAGGGCAGGGTGGGGCCAGGGGAGAATGAAAACCCAGCCTGTTGGTGGTTTCTTCTTTTTTTTTTTTTAAGAGCCACAAGCTGAGATCAAAGGTGATATTTTTACAGCAACTGAAATAGAAAACCACTGGGCACACAGTGGGAGGTGAGCAGCCGGCACACAGGCCCCTCTCTGCAGCCTGTGGCCACAGCAAGCACGCCACCCTCTGCCATGGGGTGTGGGGGACAGTGTGGTGGGGATCTTCCCAATTCAGGTTCAAAGAAGATGTGAAGGGGATGAGCCACAACCCTCGGTGCTGAGAGAGGAGAGAGAGAGCCATGAAGGATCACTAGTCCAACATCCTTTCTGTTCTGTGCGCCCACTCACCTGGTCACTCACCGAATCATGTGTGGAACTAGCTGGCCCCCGCATACCAGGAGCCATACTGAGGTCCACCAGAGCAGTGGTTCTCTGAGTGTGGGCCCCACACCAGCAGCGTCAGCATGACCTGGAACATGCTAGAAATGCACATTCTCAGGCCCCAACCCAGACGTACTGCTCCAGAAACTCTGGGGTGGGCCCAGCCCTCAGGGTTTTAACAAACTCTCCAGATGACTCTGCACACTCAGTTGGAGAATCACTGTGCTGCATGACTTCAGTTTCCACATTGCTGCTTTGGGGAAAATAACACGTGTCTCACAAGGTTGAGCCCAGTATTAGCTAACACATGTGCTAGATGCGCCATCTGTGCCAGGTATCCTTCTAATCCCTTTATAACACACCTAACTCCTCACCGACTCTGAGATAGGAACTAATATTATCTTCATTTATTTCCTGAGATGAGGAAATGCAGGCACAGAGAGGCACAGTAACTTGGCCAGGGTCACACAGCTAGTAGGCAACAGAGCTTTGGAATCTACCTTTTTTAAAGCTCCCCGACAAAAAGCCTCCAGCAGTGAGTCTGGCTCCCAGAATGTGTTCTGGGCATGGTTGAGAATGTGATGATGGCAGTTAGCATTACCTCACTTGAACTTGCGATGATGATCCCCGTTTTGTAGATGTGAAATCTGCTGCCTTGTCAAGATCAGGGAGTGAGTCAGCTGCAGAGGCAGCCTGAGGGTCTGAAACCCATGTGGCCACAGGCCCTCACCATTCACAAAGCTTGGAGATCACAATATAGCATTCTGGTCTTCTAGAAACATCCCAGCGTGTTGCAGGTGGAATGTGGGCTCTGACAGAGGTGGGATGGAACCCTAGTTTGGCCACTCAGGGGCTGTGTAACCTTGAGCAAATCATCTCCCCTCTCTGAGCCTCCGTTTCCTCCTGTGAAGGGCTTGGTGACAGTTCTCACTTTGTAGGGTTCCTGTGAGGGCTGGAGAAGATGACGTTTGTGCCCAGCCCAGAGCGTGCATGATTGGGTATCAGAAAGCAGCTTGTCCCTCTCTCTTCCCCCTTCCTGCTGCCACCTTGGTGGAAACACCAGCTTAGGACCCAGAAAAGTCCTGGGAGAAGAAGAACTAAGTTCCCAAGTGATGGAAATGCATTTGTCCTCCAGTTTGTCTGTCCTTTTCCAGATCTTGAAACAGCTGCCCTAGCTGGGGTTTGGGGGGTTAAACACTGGCACCTGCTGTGCCTAGTACAAGTCAGGAGTGGGGTAACCTGTGAAGGGAGGGGAGGTGTCCTCTCTGAGCCATATCCACTGGCCAGACATCCTCAATCAGCCAAAGCATCTGAGCATCCGCCTGCTGCAAGACTGAGTCTGGCCCCGGCATCTGAAGCTCATTAGCGGCCTGCTCCCCAGGGGCTGACCCTGCTTGGCGAGAATTATCCCAGACAGAGCCGCAGAGCAAAGACCAGGTGAGGTGTAGCCGTGAGGGGGTTGGGGGACGTATGGTCTCCCAGAGGCGCTGGGGGCCCCCAGAGAGCAGAGGAGGCTGGAGAAACAGCCACAGACTCACGGGCTGTGCAAAGGGGCAGCTTCCTCTTTGGGCCTCAGTTCCCTGACATGTGCATCCCTGGAGGAGGGGCAAGCAAGGCACTCACTGGAGGTCTTCCAGCCCTGACATTCAGGGGTCCCAACCCGACCTCTAATTCCTGGCCTTTGAGGTCCAGCCCAGTGCTGGTGGGAAGCGAGGGATGGGTGGCGGGAGCTGGGGATAATTCAGGGATGGGAAGCCATGGATTCCTCAGGCCTGGAGATCAGGGGAAGACCAGAAAGTGACACCACAGCTCAGAACAGGAAGCTAGGTGCTCCCTCAGTGCCCATGAGTGACAGAGATTGTGGTGTGGGTCACAGGCAAGAAAGTGGGTGTGAGCCGAGCCTGCCTTCCGAAGACAGGGGCCCGCCGGGCAGATGGGCCAGGATCGAGTTCTTCTCCCTCTCTGCACTCGCGCCTCCACCCTGCTGTCCAGTTAGGGCACAGCTAACTCTCACTGAGCAGTTTTTATTGTCCACTGCTTTCATGCCAGGCGCTGTGCCACGCACTGCACATGTATTGAAATAATTTAACCCTTTCACTGGGCAGCAGGTCTCAGCCTGGAGTCCAGCCCTCACCTGGCAGCTTCTGACATTGACCTTTCTCCAGACACCTAGAGAGGTCTGACAGGCTGGCCCTAACCATGTCACTCAAGATGATGCCTCCTCACAACACTTAGCACTGACACTGGGCACTCTGCCTTTCTACTGACAGGAATGATCTTGTCCCCTCCTCAGTCTCCTTCCCTCCTGGGAGCCAGGGCTCTGGGATCTGAGGAAAGGGGCAAGGAATGCTAGTCGAGAGGTGCTTCATGCAGACCTTGGTGAGGCCTGAAGAATGATCTCCACCCATGCAGGGGGCTCTCTGTGGGGACTGGGACAGGCTTGGGTCTCAGACAATCTCCCTGACTTTCCAGACAGCACTGGACCTACACACAGCCACGGTGGGCTTCTCCGAACCTTGGCTTTTCTCGGGACCTCATGACTTGGTTGCTGCATTCTTTCTTTAGACAGGTTAACATCATGAATAGGCCGGATGGCTGTTTCCTGAGCCAGGGAGCCCTGTGATTCATTTACCTCTCACAGGGCAACATTACTGGCATTTCTAAGAAAGGCCCAGAGGGACAGGGGGATCTCACCAAATTCACACAGCCTGTCAGAGCTGAGACAATCCTGGATGCCCAGACCCTGCCTAATTAAACAGTTTATCCCTTTCAAATATGAAATGTTGATTATATAACCATAGAAGAATTATAACATACAGATAAGCAAAAGTCAAAACAAATATGCTTTTCGTTTTTCAGAGAAACTTCCACTGCTCTTCCCCATCCCCCCACCTCCCCAAACCACCCTCCCTGCAACCCCAGACATAATCAATATCTCTCCTCCATTTGCCAACAGCTGCTCCCTAAGGAGTACGCCTTGACAGCAGATCCTGGAAGACAGCCTTAGACCGGATTCTGGAAAGGCCTGGAGTCTCTTCCGGAACAGCAGAGCTTCTGCCAAATGGAACTGTTTAAGTGCAGGATCTTGTAGAAAATACTCCCAGCCAGGAATCTAGAGACTGCGTCCAGCACTGTCTGGGCTGTGGATTGGCTGTGTGACCTTGGACCAGTCCCTGCTCCTTTCTGAGCCTTGGTGTCTTCAACTGTAAAATGAAGACTTAGACTTGATCAAGTGGCTTCCTTACAGCCGTTCTCAGACTGCCAACTTCTCTTGGGCAAGAGCCATGCCTTCTCCTCTCTAGCAAACCATAGAATTTAGAATCAGAGGACAGGGTTCAACACAAAGTCCATCACTCCCGGACTGTGTATGTGACCGTGGGCAGAGCACCACACTACTCTGACCCTCTGCTCCCCACGGAAAGACACAGACCACAGTGCTCGCCCTGTGGTCTGCCACAGACCCTGTGAGTGGTGGATGTCGAAGACCTTTGGACAATAGAGCGAGGTGCTCCACTGGGCTATCAGCCTGCCCCCTGCCTGCCCAGTGCCTGGCTCCATCCTGGCTCTGGAGATCTGGGCCCAGGCTTGTCGATGGAGCCACCATCTGCCCGTGGTGCTTACAGAGCTCTAGAAACAGGAGTGGGGACCCTGTGCCCAGCCTGCCGTATAAAGTGTCAGTAACGCTGCCCAGAGGCCTCGGGGTCCGTGACATCATGGACAGCCGTTTCCACGTTGGAGCTCACAGAGCTAAGTCCATTTGAAAAAATAGCACTGCCTTTTTTCTTCCTTTCTTTTTCCATTTTGGCTAAGGCATGGAAAGTGAAAGCTGCTGAATTTCTGCAGGAAGAAGTAAAGGCTGGATTCTGAAAGTGGCTTTGGTTTCTGGGCCCTAAAATCAATGGCAGAACCTGGAAGCCTAGCTCCTGCTTCCTCATGCCCACCTTGCTCTTGCTCCAGGCTCCCCTGACAGGACCAAGGTCAAGGAAGACCATAGCCTGCCTCTAGCTCCCAGATGGACCTCATCTTGCCATCTAAAAAACAGGCATGATAGCTGTTCCCCTGATCATTGCTGGTAAGAATCAAATGCAACGATAGCCATCCCATCCATCCATCCATCCGTCCATCCATCCATCCATTCAGTGTTTACAAAACACCTTCTATATAGCAGGCACTATTCTAGGAGCTGGGGTAGAGCAGAAAGCAAAGCAGACAAAACCCCTGCCTGCATGGAGCTGCCGTGGTGGGGAAGACAATCACCAGGTAAAGAAGGAAAGGATGCAGGACGCACTATGGAGGAAACCACCATGGGTGGGGGTGGGGGGATAGAGAGTGCCAGTGGGGAGGCACAGGGTCTATTTGCAGTGATTTTTGTTTTTTAGGATTTGGGGGTTTTTTTGGTTTTTTTTTTGAGACAGGATCTCTCTCCGTCACCCAGGCTAGGGTGCAGTGCTGTGATCATGGCTCACAGCAGCCTCAACCTTCTGGGCTCAAGCAATCCTCCTATCTCGGCCTCCCAAAGTGCTGGAATTACAGGTATGAGCCTCTCCGCCCAGCCTGTTGGCAGTTTTAAACAGGGTGGTCAGGGCAGGCCTCACTGAGAAGGGGGCCTTTGAGAGGATGCTGGAGAGGTGAGGAGGAAGCCCAGGGTCATCTGGGGGAAGGGTGTCCCCAGCCCTGGAAGGATGCTGGCTTCGAAGAAGCAAGGCACAGGGTGGAAATGTTCCCTCCATGTGTCTCCTGCTCCTCACAACCCTCGGCTCCATTCTGGGAACGGCACGCTCTGGACTTTAAGGGCACAGTTACAGATGGTACGGTCACTTCTTACCCTGGAGAGGCCTTTGCCCACCCCCTCTTGCATGTCAGGCCCAGAGTATGCTGAGGGTGCCGGAGAGAACTCAGACCTGTGGCCTCACTGTAGCAGGTGGGCATCAGGAGGCCCGGACTCTAGCCTGGCTCTGCCATTGGCGATGTGACATTAATAAGGCACTGCCCCTCCCTGGGCCTCAGTTTCTTTGTTTTTAAAATGCGGTAATTGGTGGTTGCCAGGGGCTGAGGGAAGGGGACAGGGGGACCTGACTGCTACTAGGTATGTGGTTTCCTATGCGGTGATGACAATGTTCTGGGATTTGGTAGTAAGATGATTGCACAACTTTGTGAATATGCTAAAGTGACTTGTACACTTAAAAACCTTAAAGAAAAAGATGGTGGTTGGATAAGATGACCTGTAAAGGAAGGAACATTAATTTTTTGTGTGCCTACAACACCCCAGGGTCTGGATTCAGCACTTGCATATCTCATGACCTCTAGGGTTCCTTCCTGTGCTGACTTTCTGTGACCCACCATGGTGATATTCAATGTTGCAGTCACTCATCAAGCTCAGCCTAAGCTTGATTCAGGTCCACAGCTAGGCTGGGGAAGAGAAGGGAGTACAGTCCCTTCCTGAAGGGGCTCAATGTCTGTGGAAGAAATCAGAAGTATGAATTGTGCAAGAGGTTTTTTTGTTTTTTTAGGACTAGCTCCTTCCTTTCCTTTCTTTGTATAGGAAAAAACAAAACAAAACAAAAATACCAGGGTGGGCCAGGCGCGGTGGCTCACGCTTGTAATCCCAGCACTTTGGGATGCCAAGGCGGGCAGATCAGCCGAGGTCAGGAGTTCAAGACCAGTCTGGCCGACATGGTGAAACCCTGTCTCTACTAAAAATACAAAAATTAGTTGGGCGTGGTGGTAGGCACCTGTAATCCCAGCTACTCGGGAGGCTGAGGCAGGAGAGTTGCTGGAACTGGGGTGGCAGAGGTGGCAGTGAGCCGAGATCATGCCAGTGTACTCCAGCCTGGGCAACAGAGGGAGACTCCATCTCAAAAAAAAAAAAAAAAAAAAAAAGAAAAGAAAAAAGTTCCCAGGGTGGGCACACACCTCTGTGGCAGTGCATGAGGCCTGGGGGTTGGTTTATTCGTGTGTGTTTCGGGGCCTTTGGGCTGGGTGAGCAGGATGCAGCAGTGGACAAGCCAGACCCAGTCTGCCCTTAGGGAGTGAGACAGACTTTGAAACAATCAAGCACACAATTAAGAATTTATTTCATTATTGCTATCAGTGCCACAAAGGGAAAGCTCACAGTGTCTTGAATAGCTTGAGAGAACACTGGCTCTGCTGGAGGAGCTTTGAGGGTGTTGTAGGAAGGATGAAGGGGTATGGAGAGGTGTGGAGGTGACACAGACAGGTATTCCAGATAATGTGGAAGCCCCAAGGGTTGGCTGAGGCCTGGCAGTGAAGGCAGAGGGCAGAGAGCCTGGAGGCTGCCCCAGAAACAAGCCAGGCCTGGCCAAGCAGGACCTTAGAAATTAGGCCCATACATACCCATGTACGCCTGTTGTCCCCTCACACTTTTAATTGTCCCAGATGAAACAGTAAACTATACAGCCACCCTACTTGCAGGCCACGTGAAGGGGTTTGTCCTAAGAACAACCCGCATTCCAGGAAGGCCTGGTCATCGCTGCCTGCATCCTGGCCTCTGGGCCTGCTGCTCTACACGGCCAGCAGCAAGGGCCTGCCAGCCCGGCGGCCACAGCGGTTACTTGAGCCAGATGATGGGCCTACTTGGCAGCTCCTGGCCATCCGACCCTGCTGTCCTTTTCCCAGGCAGACCCTGCTCCCCGCCACGCCAGTTTCCCCTACTAGTATCTTGAGGTGAGAGCTTTTCCACCATGTCTCAGGCCAAGCATGGTTGTTGGCTCCAGGTTCGGTGAGCCGGTTTCCGGTCGTCCCCGCCCTCGGCTGCTCCCTGAGGACCTGTTCCAGGCCTCGGCCGGGCCAGGGCCTCACGCTCTTTCCACTCTTGTTTTTCATTTCTGCCTCTCTTGATTGTCCTCTGTGTGACTGTCCCTCTGCTGGGCCTCCCTGTATCTCACCCCCCTCCTCTTTCTCGCTCTTCTCTAGGGTAACCTGACATTATAGAAAAGCATGTGCTTCAGGACAGATGGAACTGGGTTCAAATCCCAGCCCTGTCACCTGCTGGCTGGGTGAGCTTGGGCAAATGTGTCCTCCCATCTGACTCAGGCTCCTGTCATGTGCAATGGGAGTGAACCTCATAACTCTTGTTTCTCTGGGTGGTTGGGAGCTGAGATGAAGTCCACAAAGTGCCTTCTGGCAAACAGGAGGTGCCCAACAAACAAGCTTCCTCTTACCTTCCTCAGGCACTATCTTCTTGACCTGCACATCTCACTCACTCACACACAAAACAAGAAACAGAAGCCCCCAGCTGGCCCCTAACTACCTCCCAGCCCTAGACTTGACATCACCAACAGCATCCCTGCAGCATGCTCACGGCCACCCCACCACGGGGGTGAGGGAGGCTCATACCTGGAGGGCCTGGCTATAGTATGAGGCTCTCCAGGGGGATGTGGGAGGTGTCTTCTGAGCTGTGACTCAGGTGCCAGAGTCTTGTTTTTTCACCACATGCAGGACAGGAGAGGCAACCTGTCAACACCACCCCTGGCCTGCAGGCTCCTCACTGTGTCCCCATGTCACATCCCTGTACTTTCCAGCCTCCAGTTCTTACCAGTGCCCTTGACCCCATCTGGAATACCCTTCTTCTCCCCGCTGTCCTCCGGCCCCAAGCCTAGGCCTCACACCAGCTCTGGGGTGTAGACATGATAGAGGAGGAAACTGAGGCTCAGGGGCATTCTGATGTTTGTGTTTTTTATAAGAATGTGTTCTGTGTGATATATTGTGTCACTTCTTAAAAGGCAAAATGAAACAGGTTGTCTGGGTTACAGTGGATCTGGAATGGAAACAAAGGTCTGCAGGACTCCAAATTTCTCATTCATCCTTTTCCCTCTGCCACACCCCTTACATGGTGGTGACTACATGGACCCTACTGTAACTTACTTCCTAGATGTCACTTAACAAGCAATTGTGTCAATAAACCCGTACATCTATGGCCATTGACTTCTATTTTTCTTTAAAGAAGCAAGGTCTTGTTCTGTTGCCCAGGCTGGATGCAATGGCACGATCACCACTCACTGCAATGTCAATCTCCTGGGCTCAAGTGATCCTCCTGCTTCAGCCTCCCTAGTGGTTGGAACCACAGGTGCACACACCACATTCAGCTAATTTTCTTTTTTTAAATTTTGTAGAGACAGGGGTCTCATTATGTTGCCCAGGCTGGTTTCAGACCCCCTAATCTCAAGCGATCTTGGCCTCCCAAATTGCTGGGATTACTGTGTGATATATTGTGACCATGCCTAGCCTGGTCAATTGATTTTTGACAAGAGTGCCAAGACATCCAGTGGAGAAATAATAGGTGTTTTGTTTTTTTTTTTAAACAAGTGATGCTGTTCCAGCTAAAACTAGAAAATCCTTACGAGAAAACATAGATGTAAATCCTTGTGACCTTGAAGTAAACAATGGTTTTTTCTACATGGTGCCAAAAGCACAAGCAACCGAATGAAAAAATAGAGAAACTGAACTTCATCAAAATTAAAAATGTTGTGTTTCAAAGGATATTATCAAGAAAGTGAACAACCCACAGAATGGGAGGAAATACTTGCACATGAAGTATTCTAGTAACTGGAATACATAAAGAACTCTTTGCAACTCAACAAGAAAAGGACAAATAACTTAATTTTTAAGTGGGCAAAATATTTGAACAGGTATTTCTCCAAAGAAGATATACAAATAGCCAATAAGCACTTAAAAAGATACTCCACACCATTAGTCACTGGGGAAATGCAAATCAAAACCACCACGTGATATGCCATTCACACTTACCAGGATGGTTATAATAAAAAATACCAAATTAACAAGTGTTGTCAAGAACATGGAAAAATTGGAACTCTCATAATGTAAAATAGGACAGCCACAGCTGGGCACAGTGGCTCATGGCTGTAATCCCAGCACTTTGGGAGGCTGAGGCGGGTGGATCACGTAAGGTCAGGGGTTTGAGACCAGCCTGGCCAACATGGTGAAACCCCGTCTCTACTAAAAATACAACAAATTGGGCCAGGTGCAGTGGCTCATGCCTGTAATCCCAGCACTTTGGGAGGCCAAGGCAGGCAGATCACGTGAGGTCAGGGGTTTGAGACCAGTCTGGCCAACATGGCGAAACCCAGTCTCTACTAAAAATACAAAAAAAGTTAGCTGGGCATGGTGGCAGGCACCTGTAATCCCAGCTACTCGGGAGGCTGAGGTAGGAGAATCGCTCAAACCCGGGAGTTGGATGTTGCAGGGAGTCAAGATCGCGCCATTGCACTCCAGTCTGGGCAACAGAGTGAGACTCTGTCTCAAAACGAAAACAAAAAATAAAACAAAAACCAAAAAAATTTATCCAGGCATTGTGGCAGGTACCTGTAATCCCAACTACTTGGGAGGCTGAGGCAGGAGAATCGCTTGAACCCAGGAGGCAGAAGTTGCAGTGAGCCGAGATTGTGCCATTGCACTTCAGCCTGGGCAACAAGAGTGAAACTCCGTCTCAAAAAAAAAAAAAAAAAAAAAAATACAGCCACTACGGAGAACAGCTTGACAGTTCCCTTAAAGTCATATAGTTACCATATGATCCAGCAGTTCCATCCCTAGGTACATATACAAGAGAACTGAAAGCATGTATTTCAGACAAACACTTGGCACGTGAATGTTCATAGAAGCATTATTTGTAATAGCCAAAAAGTAGAAACAACCCAAATGTCCCTCAACTGATGAATGAGTCAACAAAATGTGGTATATCCATACAATAAAATATTAACCAACCATAAGAGGAAATGAAGGAGTTTGATGCATGCTACAACATAGATAAACATGAAAATGAACTTGAACTGTCCAGAATAGGAAAATCCATAGAGACAAAAAGAATTAGCAGTTTCTAGGGGCTGGAGTGGTGGGTGGAATGAAAAGTGACTGCTAATGGGTATGGGATTGATTTTTGGGGTGATGGATGAAAATGTTCTGAAATTAGAAAGTAGTGATGGTTGCGCAACTTTGTAAATATACTAAAAACCACTGAACGGTACGCTGTAACAGGGTGAATGTGTGGTATAGAAGTTACATCTCAAATATTTTTCCTTTCCAACTTATAGGTTCAAGCAGTATATGTACAGGTTTGTTACATGGCTAAATTGCATGTTATGGGAGTTTGGTGTATAGACAATTTTGTCACCCAGGTAATCAGCATAATATCAGTCCTTACCCTCCTTCCCCAATCCACCTTCAGATAGGCCCCCCGTGTCTATTGTTCTCTTCGTGTCCATGTGTACTCAATGTTTAGCTCCCACGTAAAAGTGAGAACGTGCAGTATTTAGTTTCCTGTTTCTGCATTAATTCACGTAGGATTATGGCCTCCAGTTCCATCCATGTTGCTGCAAAGGCCATGATCTCATTTTTTGTAGCTGCATAGTTAGTATTCCATGGTGTATATGTACCACATTTTCTTTATCCAGTCCACTGTTGATGAGCATCTAGATTGATTCCATATCTTTGCTATTGTGAATAGGGCTGCAATGAACATATGTGTGCCTGTGTCTTTATGGTAGAATAATTTATATTCATCTGGGTATGTAACCAATAATGGAATTGCTGGGTCAAATGGTAGTTCTATTTAAGGTTTTTGAGACATCTCTAGACTGCTTCCACAGTGGCTGAACTAGTTTACATTCTCACTAGTGGTGCATACACATACTCTTTTCTCCACAACCTCACCAACATCTGTTGTTTTTGACTTTTTAATAATAGCCATTCTGACTGGTATGAGACGGTATCTTATTGTGGTTTTGTTTTGCATTTCTCTAATGATTAGTGATGTTGAACATTTTTTGTTGCTTTTTGGCCACATGTATGTCTTCTTTTAAGAGGTGTCTGTTCATGTCTTTTGCTCATTTTTTTAGCTTAAAAATTGTTTTAATTATTACTTTTTAAAAATTGAGTTGCCCAGGCGGGTCTCAAACTCCTCAGCTCAAGTGATATCTCCTACCTTGGCCTCTCAAAGTGCTGGGATCAGAGGCATAAGCCACCATACCCAGCCTTTTGCTCATTTTTAAATGGGGTTGTTTTTTGCTTGTTGATCTGTTTGAGTTTCTTATAGCTTCTGGACATTAGACCTTTGTCAGATGCATAGTTTGCAAATATCAAGTTTTTTTTTAAAGGTACTTGTGTGGATCTGGAGAGAATCTTGCAGAACACTGAGCCCAACGTTCTCCCTCTCCTGCTTCAACACACCTCCATGCTAAAGACGGGGAAACTATAGCCCAGAGAGGGGAAGGATCACACAGCATGTCTGAGACAGAGCAGGGTCTAGAACCTGTTGCCTATTGCCACCCCGCTGTTCCCTGACTAGACTGTTAGGTCTTGGAGAACAGAAACCTTTATTAATTTTGTACTCCCTGTAACAACAGCATAGGACTCAACACATTGCGGTGAAAATAGGATTGCTCTAATTGCAGGAGAGTAGATAGAGACCCTATTCTGATGATCCTAAGGAAACATGGATTCACTGGCCCCATAATTGGGAAGGACAGGCTCAGGGACTCAAATAGCACCCCATCTCCACCCCACTACCTGTTTCTTCTTTTCCTTCTTCATTGTCCTTGTCTTCCTCACATGGCAGGGAATACAGGGTAGGAAGCTCTGGGGATCACGCCTTTGGAATTTGCATTCCAAGGTGGGGCTGACTCCTTTCTTCCAGAACCCATTCATGCATCACAGGGAAATAGCTCTATTTGGTCCAGTTGGGTCATATACTCTTCCTGGACCAATTATGTGGCTAGGAAGATGGAATTCTCCACAAGGCCAGGCCTTCTATCAGGGGACTGGGTTCTGTGCCTGAGAACCCCATCAGAACTTCATAAAGTTGGGGGATGGCAGGGAGGGGTGTTGTTATCATTAGAAGTGAAAGAGAGGTTGGGCAGGCAAAAACTCAGCTGCCCCCTCCCGTAAGCACTCAGGCCATTGTGGGAATGATCCGCTAGCCAGGGGGAAAGGCAGTCATGGTGTTTGGATGCAGAGTGGCCTGGGGTTCAAGACCCAGCTTCTTCACTTTCTGGCTGTGTGCAGGTGGGTAAGGGACCTCCCAGAGCCTCATTTTTCTGGACTTCAAAGTGAAAACAATAATCCCAGCCTATAGAGTTGTAGATATTTGAGATAAGGGCAATGCAGTGATAGCCCAGAGCCTAGTGCATGGTAGGGGTTGTGCTCAGGTTGGTCATTGTCATTGTTATTGATGCTTTGGGTGGGTCGATATTTAGCTTCAAGTCAGAACCTGGGGATTCTGCGAAAATGCTTCAGACAGTGGGAGCTTGTCTAGGCCCAGACCCCTGCACCAGGGTTAAGGGGAATGGCAGTGAGAGAGATGACTCCTCCCGGGGAAGGATTATAGAAGATGTCCTCTGTGCGGCATGAGAGGTGACTTGACCCCTAGGAGTCCTGAACTCAGGGTCAGCCCAGCACTGCCCCAACCTGCTGGTTGACCTTGGCCTGGTGACCTGCCATCTCTGAGCTCAATGATCCCTGAACCAGTGACAGCTCTGCATGCCTGCTCAGGATTCCTGCTCATCTAAGGCTGCTAGAAAGTCAACAGTGTCACCTCCCACACTCCCTGTTTTTTTAAAAGGGATCGAGCAGCTCTTACCACAGAGTTGAGCATCTGCCCTTCTCAAGGCCCT